ACGAAATTGTCAGCAGTTAATATATAGTAAACAGTTTATCTAAATGACATGCCAGCGAGGATCGACAATATAATTATTCGTACATATTTGGGTATCTTTTGTATGCCTTCGCTTGCTGACTTGCTCACTAATGAGAATAATCCGTGAAGCCACGACGACCTCAAAATGTACTATACTATGGTCTGATGTCAATCCGAAGACGAAGTTCAGAATACTGTTATAGTTTCGTATATTGGATTTAAGCGATAGATTCAAGTCATTTATGATAGACTTTTTTGCTGTGATGCTTTGCTATTGCTTTTGGTTTCCATTTCTAGTTTAATTTGTTCGATAGTCCTATAATATATAATATTAAAATGAATAAAGTTCAAATTCTTCAAAATGCTGTTGTTGACATTTGCTATTTTTAGTAATTTTGTCAACGAGTGTAAGCCAATCAGAAGCCTGCGTTTCTATACGAACGCCACTACCAAGAAAACCTATCATCCGTGCAGGCCCTCTATTCTTCGCGCCGCCCGCACCCAGGGCCTGTTCGCAGGCTATACAACACACAGGGCGGCTGCACGCCACTGTTTTATGCACTGTTTTAACAGCCATTTTTTTATCCGAAACTTATGCAAATTATTTTCTACTTGTGTTATGCTAAATGTTATGCAAAGCGTAATTATACTTTCGACCCGAAACACACTTACTACACGCCATCTACAGTTGAGTTCATATGGTTCACTCTTGGTCAGCCTTCCCAATCTTGGCGAAGTCGATGCTCGCATACTCAGTTTGTCCAGCACGTTCTTCATCTCGTTTCTTTTTCGAATTATCTGCTTGTTCTAGAGCAAGTGAGTCAAGCGTTGCATATAACTGCAAAAGAAGAATAAGTCACTTTTGAGAAGTAAGAATATCTCGTATTTTAAAGAAGGTTCAAAAGAGGCCGCTGATGGAAATTATCGAGTGTAAATTTTATATCACATTTATTAGACCTAACCAGAAACAGGTGGAAAAAATGCAGCTATAGATCCCTGGCAGAAATCAAACCGTTGACCCTGCGATCCGGTGCGCGCCCTAACCAACTACAGAGTCCAGTTCTCTAACCTCAAGTTCACGCATATACTCAAAGGTATACTACCATTTAAAAAAAATACCGGCAGACCAAAGTGGGCTGATGCTAATGGTGTCGTGAATGGGTGGACCATTAGGTATCCTAAGAAGTAGGTCGGGGGGGGGGGGAAGGGTGTAGATTCCCAAAAAATCACACAGAATGGAATTTGAAAAAAATCGTGCAAACAATTAGGGAATACATAGAAAAAAATTCCTGCACCGCTTCGACACCGTAAAAAAGTCGGCAGTTCGTTTTCTAGTTATAATCATTCCTCGTATTTTCAGTTCTAAAATATTTTATTCGGCTGATGAAAAAGATCGTGACCCAATCTTTACGACCGTTACGGCCATATGGACCAAAGCTTTAGAGAAAAAATTCATTGTTGTTGATCACGTCTTCATTGATGTTGCCGCTGTATTGGCTAACTCACTAATATAACACAGGTTAAAGGTTAAAACCTTGACGTACCGGTTTTCCTTCCCTGTTTTTCTTGTCCACAGCGGCATACACATCGGGAGTAGTATTTTCTGGCGGTTTGCTCTTAGTTCCGGTTGCTCCAGGGTTGTTCACTGTATCATAAGTGTTGTCGACTCCGCCAGAGGGTTCTCCATCTAGCTCGTACTGGTTTTCAGCAAGTCCGCCGCTGGCACCTGGGCTTACGTCCGCATTTCCTCTGAAACAAGACGATCTATGAAGCGTTATAACGCCGGGGCTATGGAAATACACACTTTCTTGATATTTCTTGTGTGTGTTGGTGATAGGTGAATATGTTATTTGTGATGTTACTCTGAGTGCATCCACAGCGGGCAAGCTGAAAAGTTTGCCTGACCACGGTGGGAGTCGAATCTATTAGAGGTGTGCAATCGGATTCGTTCGCATTTCGGAGCAAAATTTTTCATTTTGGATTGGATCGGATTGATAAAGTTGCTTCGTAGTCGGATCGGACTTCGATATTCGAAATAAAATGAATTAATTATCAACGACAACGCGGTTGTCGCTGCATTACTCGTTTGATAATTCAATTGGACGTCACTTTGTCAGCTTCTTAACATGTATTTCTTGCTTTTATATTTATTTGGTTAAATATTTCTACTTGAATGAGAAATTTATTTTATTAAAGGATTCTTCGGATCGGATTGGAATTCTTTATCAAAACTCGGATCGGATTTGGATTAGATTGATTTCGGATCGCATTTTAAACATTAGCCAATTGTCGGGTTATAAACGGCCAATCCGATCCGATGCACACCTCTAGAATCGAACCCGCGACGTTAACATATGCAGGCACTACCAAATGAATGGATAAAAGTGAATGGATAAAATAAACATCGACCATCAATCGATTTCCATATATAGTATTGTATGTATATTTGTATCAACCCTTTGGCGGTAGCAAGAATTCGTATGTTAAATAACGTTCAGTTCTCTATCCAGCGGAGCTACGAGATCAGCTCAATTTTCTAGTTCGTGTCTGGATGTACACTACAAATTTTAGGCAAAACTACAACCGCTGGCTGTGCCCCAGCGATTAATAACTCCATATACTGTAAATATATCTGGAGTGTAAGAACTCGCGTCCAAAAATTATGACGAGGATGACGTCCAGTGCATGACTTGGGCGACTTGGCATTAAACATGATTGGACTGATATGAGATGCGACTAAGGAATGTTAGAGACATCGTAGTTTTGTGTATCTAATTACTAGTTTCATGTTATTGAATGAATCCCTTTCAGAAACCTGTACATTATGTACTTCATTCTAAGACTAACTACACTTTGAGTCTCAAGCTTTTACTAGTTCAAGTATACTGTTCGCGGTAATTTGAATTAATTTTGAATTATTGCGTCCTGTTTTTATCTGTGCAATTAACTATACTATGGTTTTATTATAATCCGTTTGCTGGTAAAAATTAGCCTGTGTACAGCCGTTACTTTCGACGAAACGCGCGAGAGAACGTCTGTGAGTTGGATGCATAATCCTTGTTCAGGTCACGTGGATAGTTCCCAGTTTTGGAGACCGGCCTCCGCAGCTTTATTTGAATAATTTATGACGCAGCTTTATTTGAATAATTTATGACAAATGAAGCTGTTTCATTGGTTAATTGATAATTAGCATGCGTTTAAAATAAGAACACAAAAATGTTAAAATTCCAGATCAAGAATCCGAAGATTTCCTTCGGGGCATACAAAGGTTTGAAAGACTAGAATCTGTTGAGTTTAATTTTGTGCTGTATCGAAGTTTAAGAAAATCAAGATAAAATTCTAGTGTTTGGACTCTCAGCGAACAATGCTGACAAATATATAAAATACAACTTCGTCTTACTTGGAAAGTTAACTTTTAATTACTTTACTAGTTTACCCACAGGGTAGTGAATGCTGCCTTGGTATAGCATTGTTCCCAAATATTTAAATGCGTATAATATACCACATGAGATTGACTAAAATCAAAATTTTTATTTTTCGATACGTTTCTCAATCGGTAAAAAAAAACCCTTAAAAAGTATGTTTAGTGCTTTATCTGTAAAATAATGCTAAAATGAAGAGATTTTAGATGATACGCCAAAGAGAAAATGATGTCTAAAGTTCAGTACGTTTTGCTTAAATGTCTGTAAATATAGCGTCAATTTTAAGGCATCATTGATAATTGTATTTTAATTGGCAATTTTTAACTATTATTTTATGTTTCTCAGTCGGCAGACGCATTTAAAAAGGTAGCTAACTCTATAAACTGTAGAGAATAAAGCTAAAACAAAGTAAACGCCAAGAAGATTTTAGGTTTTGAACATTTTTCATTGCAAATACGTGACATTGAAAAAAAATTGCCTCTTAATATTTTAAAGAATAAGAGTAAGAAATATTCGTAATGAATTGGAATCATCCATAATTTATACACTTGAATGTGCCGTATGATAACTCGGCGCTCGAAGTTTCGTATCGAAAGAGGAACAGCCCAACAGGTATGATGGTTAACAAGAATGAGTGTACTTATCAACTTATCTAAACGCGAGGAAAAGATCAAAATAGCAAGTATGGCTGTGATATCTAGTATATAAAATTATATATACACAATTTGCCCACAAATACGGTGCTAAGTCAAAACGGCCCAAAGTCAAAACGGCCCCAAGTCAAAACGCCCCGCTTCAATAAGCATATGAATTAGACCAGGGGTTAAAGGGCAATGACAATGACATGCAGGTGACATTTAATTACATGTGCGAGTGTGCGTCTCACTAAATTTGCGTGTTTAATAATGTTTATCAAAGAAGGCAAAAATATATACAAGACAACCTCACATGTGGAATCTGTTCACTTACGCACTGCGTTGTGGTGCAGTACAAGTACAAATACATTTGTATTGACAAAGCATTTTTAAAGGCTTTAAATCCTAAAACATAATTAATTAAATCATACGGCACATTCAAGATTTTAATATCGTATTTCAGCCGCGTTTATACTGCTTGGCGCGCATTTGCTGCATTATATTAATTTATCGCTTCCCTACATATATTAAAGCACCATCGGCAAACTGTTTGTCAGATTGAGCTCGGTTTTCTGTGCTGCCGAATACTACGAGACCAGTCAAAGCCTTTATGGCATAATTATGGCTTATGTGCCCGGTTGTTGGCACATAGCCGCTTTATTGTTTTAATCAATTTTTAATAATTAACAAGAAAAATTATTAATTAATAACTATATAACATTTAGCACAGAAAAGGTGGGGGCATTACTAACGCCCACTACACATAACGTATCTATATAAGTTCAACATATCGCGTCCAACAACGGGGAGGAGGGTGGGTAATTCTCTTCTATCCAATTTCTTGATGTGAACTGCAGCCCTCGTGGAATAGGAAAGGACAGATAGCCCGCTTCACCACTGATTAATACCGAAATTTCCAGTCACGTGACTATACCTAAATTAAC